AAATTTATTTTATTTATTTCTTCTTTTATTTAAATATAGTGAAGAAGTGCATAATACTTTCAAATTCTTACCCTTCTTTTTGGTTTTAGATACAGAAAGGAAAAGTCCATGGAAGCATTGATGTTGGCTTATCAGTTATGTCTATAAAAAAAAAGGCTCGTAGAATAGATCTTGACACAGAAGAACACATTTACCACCTGAAGGTAAAAAGTGTGCAAATACGTGTTATTTTTTCTTCCACAGTAGAAATAAATGAAACTGTAAAAGACGTGCAGAAAAGTAGTATTTTGAATGCTTTCTTGATAATACATTTGTTTCCAGGTGAAGTCACAGGATTCGTTTGATGCATGGGTTTCAAAATTACGCCATCACCGGTTGTACCGTCAGAATGAAATTGTGAGATCTCCAAGAGATGCTAGCTTTCATATATTCCCTTCAGCGTCTACGACAGAGTCCTCACCAGCTGCTAATGTGTCAGATGGAAAGGTATGTAGTGTTCTTTTGTTGAAAACTCATGGCTTGCTCATGGGCAGTTTCAGTGGGCTCTTCTTGTAATGCCAATGGACAGGACCTTCCAGTGTGGGAACCAGTGGCCATCAAAAAGCTGTGAGCATGTTCTGCTGAAATGCTGTCTAAATTACCCTTACTGCAGCCTTCATTAATGGGCTGCTGCAGAGATCTTGCAGAGAATTGACCATCCCTATGACAATTTGCACTTGCCTCTGTCATCAGATATAAATCTGTCCCTATGCTGTTTGATAATGTTCTTTCTCTTATACAGCAGCTTTTCTAACTGGTGGCTAGCAAGCACAGTTTGCTTGTGAGGTCCTTGATTTCATTCTCCAAAATGCTATTCAGAAAAATCTGCATCTGGGGGACTATATAGACAAATCACAGATGTTGCTGAAAATACAATGAATAGTTTGGTTTCTGTTCTGAAGTAGTGTGGTGATTACACTGACAGAGCAACATAGCAACAGTAAATTTAAGCAATTTATTATGCTTTAGGTGCAACAAAATAACTTTCCCTGGCAGTCTCCTATACCTTGCAGTAACAGCCTTCCTGTCACCTGCACTACTGGTCAGAGTAAAGTCGCAGCCTGGTTGCAGGACTCTGAAGAGATGGACAGATGTGCAGAAGGTTAGACTTTACCTTTTCATGCCTTGTTCTTCCAGCAAAACTTCTTGTTGGTATAAATAAGAAAGAATCAAGTCAGTCGAGTGGTTAAGTTACATCTTTACATACACATGAAGTAGCTCTTTAGGTATTTAGATGCTTGCGGTGGGAACTTTTGTCTCTGGGTGTTCTGGGATGTTGCTTTTAAAATTTACCTTAGTAATTTGTGTTATTTTAATGGATGTCATTGTTCAAATATGATCAGCTTTTGAGGTCCAGACTTGTTGCTGACTCTCAGAGAAATAGCAATTGTTCCACATCTCTAAAAATAAAACTTTTACTTAGATGCTTTACTACTAGGGAATTGGACATTAAACTTTTATAATGCAATAAAGTGCTAACAATGGATGCCATGGCAAAAAAGAACAAAAAAAGAAAAAGAAGAGTCTGAACTGAAGCACCTAATGTATTTTTACTTTATATCTGTTAGATCTTGCTCATTGTCAGTCTAACCTTGTGGAACTCAGTAAACTTCTACAAAATTTAGAAATACTACAGAGAACTCAGTCAGCACCAAATTTCACAGACATGCAGGTAAATATGCTTGAACATAAATCATTACAGTGAAACATTTGTTCTTTGTGCTTTGTGAAATATAGAGATGCCATCTGTTAACTCAGAATGATTTTCTGAAATCATAGTAAATCTTGGATGAAATGTTGATCTCATATGTTTATTTTGATCATGTGGAATATTGTTTCATGTGTAAACAAATAATTAAGACATGTATTATTGAATTAAATAGGACAAATCAAATGATTAAGGTATTTGCAAAACAAAACTGAGAACTGTTACAATAGAATACAAGTATGTATTGAAATTGTATTTAAGGAGTTTTTGTTACGCTGTGTAAGATAGCATATTAAGTTTTTTAAGGAATGGAGGCCCAAAGACCCTCAAAGATGAAGTTGCATGCTCTAGAAGGCGTAGTACAAATGTCCCAAGTTTTGTACTGTTTCCCTGTTCAGGATGAGTTTTACTCTTGACCAGAAAGCAACAGCTGATCCTAAATCATAAGTACTTTCTTTCTTTTTCACTGAATCCTCTTGAGTACACAAATCTCCCAGTGGTGTTGGTGTGTTGGGAAGTCTAGTTACAATGAGGTAACGAGACTTATCATTGAATTCAGGAAGAGGTGAAGTCTGTTTCTTTGGGGTGTACCACAATAGAAATCCATGAGTATTTCAAGATCTGGTCCTAAATATTGTGCACTCATGAAAAAAAGTGTACCAGTAGCTTTGCTAAATGAGCTAACTATACCATGTGTTTATAGAAGTGTACGGTAGCTGTGCTTGGCCACTGCTGCAGTTTCGGGCCCTGGCAGCAGCTTTCTTCTCCTTACTTTCTAATTTGTACATGTCTAATGCTACAATTCTTTACTAACTTGCTGTACTGTCTGTGTTGCTTGTGCCAACTTAATAGTACTTTGTCGCTTTTAACTATTTGTGTAATGTAGGCTAACTGTGTAGATATTTCAAAGAAAGACAAGCGGGTCACAAGACGGTGGAGAACAAAAAGTGTCAGCAAAGATGCAAAAATTCAACTTCAGGTACTGAATGCACAATGTTTTACTTTTCACTGTAATTTTAGATTCACTTTTAAGCATGAAATGATGCATTAGCTGAAAGTAGGAAATCAATGTGCTGTCTCTTATATTTCTGATGAAGTAAATGAAATCACAGTTTGTTGTTTAAAACCTAGAGGAGGTAGTGAAAAAAGTATTGATTTTGCTTTTATTCTTGTGAAAACATTGCCATCTAGGGAAAGTAGAGGGATGTGAATATTAATCAATTACGGTGCAAAAAATGCAATATACATGCACCACATGGGGATACTGCTATTCCATATCAAACTTGCAAAGAAGGGCAGTTAAACAGGTGACATCAAGGTAAAAGCAGAAAACTTGAATGAAATATTACACACACCAGTTGTCAAGACCTATACTAGGAATGTTACCAATAATGAGTATTTTCACAAGCCTTCTCTTATGGAAAAGGCTAGTATGGGAACAAACTGAATAACCAAAGAAAAAATTATATGAAGAAAGGATTTACTCCATCCCACCATAGATCTGAAAGGTAAAAGCACAGAAATAATTATAATGTGCACGTATTTCTGCATTCTGTGTTGTTGGAAACAACGTGTTTTGAGGTCTGATCTAATTTGTTTTTATTTCTGAGCAACTGATAATGAAGACTATATTCAACTGGATTGGGAGCTGACATTCACCACTGTGATGTCTGCTACTGAATAAATAAATGTCAGCAACTTTTTATCCATTAAAATACCTTGAAATTCATGCAGACTTTGAAAGCTTTTAATATGTTCCCTAGAGGCACAATAAGAAGTTTTCTGTGACTTATTTAAGATTAATAATATTAAGGAAAGAAGAAATTGTAGTTGCATCAGCTTTCCCATTGCAGCTATTGTTAGGTGATTTTTCTTTCTACTTACGATACTTTGATAACTTACTTCACAATAAATTGAAAAGTGAAGCGTCTGTTAGGATTAAAAAGGTTTGTTAACAAAGGAATTTTGGTGATTGATGTCATGTCCTATTACCTGCAACTGAATGATCACTGTTTTCCCCTGCTGCTGAACAACATAGGCAAATAAAAATATCAGGAAAATGCATGCAAGGACTAGGTGCCTGTGAAGAGTCAGAGACACCGCTGTGTGTTCTTTCATGGCCCAGTGGTCTCAGAGAAGTCCTGTCCACAAAAATGGTGAAAGCAGTCAATGTATGATGATCTATGGTGGGTCATAGTGAATTATGAGCTGTTCCTGTCTTGCCTACACTTTGCTAAAGTAACACTGGTCTGAGCTTCCATTGCTGGCACCTGATTCTCAAACTGCTGTTTGCGATTTGGCAGGAGTTGTGCCTCAGCTCCTGAAATTTTCAAATACAGTTGTTTTGCAGGTTCCCCTGAGAGAGTTTATGTGCACAGCACTGCTCTACATGGGTCTGTCATTTCTGGGTTGGTAATGAACTCTGCCTAACCTGGGTCAGCATTAATTCCTGGCAAGCTTAATGCTGGAAATGTAAAGCTAATTTTGTTAGAGCAAAGCATCAAGTTATTGATGACTGATTTATAAATTATTTTGCAGTGAAACAGAAACAATAAAATTATTCTAAATTATATGGGAGACAAAGAATCCTTTACGGCTGCTCCATTATCTTACCTAGTTTGATAGGCTCAACACACTGTGTATTCTTCCAAGGGCTGTCCTGTCTCATGCATGGTCTAAAGCTGTGATCTGTAGGAAGATAGCCTCGCTCTGACTCATTGTGCTATTCCTAATTTGCTTATGTTGGCATTCCACTAAAATGTGGGTTTCTTCAAGTGCCTAGGTGCCCTTTAAGCTAACAGTCACATTTTGTTCTTCTGTTAGGTATGCTTCTATCTTCATTGGCCTTCCTTTTTTCAAGACTACTCCAACTCTTTATAAGCTGTTTGTCAGGATATACATTACAGAAAACCATTTTGTCTAATTTGTGATTGTTTCTTCACACATAATTTGCTCTTCAAAGGTTGACATTTCGTGCTATGAAAATTTCTGTTGTCCTTTCACTTTTCCATGCCTCCATACATTTCATTAGTTTTAGGGGATAATGCTAATACTAGCATTCTAATTTTAATCTAGTTGCACTATTAATTCTATTTGTAATACATGCACCTATTTATTTTAGAATAAGCAGTTGTTAACTACCATCAAATACCCTCTGATAGTGTGATGATTAGAGCCGTCCTTCTGGGGAGCATAAAAAGCAGGGAACTTTATATACAGATGTCTGCTTCACAAGTGATGGGGAATGAAAGTGTAATTTTTGCTGGCTCAGCATCCACCATGTAATATGCAAGGAGAGAATTCTCCAGATTTTGTTTTGTACTTGTTACTGTTTTTCACTGACAACATAGCTTTTGTTGTATTCTACCAACACATTCTGCAACATGAATGCTAGGGGTATAATATATTTAAAACGTACTTTTTCTTGTAAGAACAGCTGCTTGATTTATTTCCTAGAAATATGTATTTACCAATTAGATATACCAGCTGTGTGTGCAGTTGATTTGCTCACACAGTTAATCCTAGTGACTAGAGTGGGCTTACTCCCTAAAGTAAAATTGAGCATAGCATGTGTATATATATTTGCAGGTTTGGGGGTCTAGTATTGCTAAATTGCTCAGAATCAACAGCTTAATTTACAGGCCTTTACTCAAGAATAATACATGAACTGGTTCACTGAAGTAAGATTGTTTCGTGGTTTAACCCCAGCAGCAGCCAAGAACCACGCAGCCACTCACACATTCCCCGCCCCATGGATGGGGGAGCGAATCAGAAGGGTAAAAGCTACAAAAACTCATGGGTTGAGATAAAGACAGTTTAATAGAGAAAGCAAAAGCTGCACACACAAGCAAAGCAAAACAAGTAATTAATTCACTGCTTCCCAAAGACAGGAGGTGTTTAGCCATCTCCAGGAGAGCAGGGCCCATCACACATAACGGTTCCTTGGGCAGACAAACGCCATCACTCCAGATGTCCCCCCTTCCTCCTTCTTCCTCCCACCTTATATACTGAGCATGATGTCATATGGTATGGAATGTCCCTTTGGTCAGTTTGGGTCACCTGTCCCAGTTGTGTCTCCTCCCAGTCTCCCATGCATCCTCAACTTCCTTGCCAGCGTGGCAGTACGGAAAGCAGCAAAGGCCTTGACTCTGTGTAAGCTCTGCTCAGCAATAACAAAAACATCTCTGCATTATCAACTCTATGTTCTGCACAAAACCAAAATACAGCTCCATACTAGCCTCTGTGAAGAAAGTTAACTCTACTTCAGCTCAAACCAGCAGAGATTGCTTTTATGAAGGATGTTTATTCTGTGTTTAGAAAGCCTATTTAAAACCTTATGAGAATGGCCTGCAACAACAGGTTAGTTGTCCTGTATTCATTCATTTTACAAAGGATACTTTTGTACAGAAACTGAGTTGAGGGTTTTGTTGGGGTTTTTTGTTTTTTTTTCATTTCTTTCCCTTTGGCTAAAAGACTATGCTATCACTGTCGTGACGTCCTGGGGATCTTCAAAGGAAGGAAAAAAATTAATGAAAAGCAGTAAAATGAGCCAGTGTTGGTTTGGTTTCCATCAGATGCTTAAAGTTGTGAATTTCCAAGGCTATTTTTTTTTATAAACTATATTTTTCCCCAGGGGAGTAGTTTAATAGAGAACTATATAGTATGAAGTAGCCTGAAAAGTCATCTTGCTCTACTGAGGCTTTCAGCTCAGAACTGAGACCAGACCCAAAGACTAGCTTATTACTTTTTCCCTTAAATAGGTATTCCTTTATATCATAACTCAGATTATGACTCACTTTCTATTTGTTGATGAGAGTGTGTGGCTCTGCAAAGTTCACTGTTCCATTTCAATAATGCCTACCTGCATTGAAAATCTTGCATATATATATATATATATTTTTGTGCATTTCTCTGTACATATATCTGTTTATATATGTCCCTATTATTTAAACAAGAATATTATTCCAATCTCCTATTCACAGGATGGACATATTTTTGTAGAGCACAAAGAGCTTTACATTATGCATACGATGTGTTGTCTGCTTTAACAAAACATGTACTCAGCATTTTAGAGGTTGTGTACATGGGGTTTTTTTAAATGAGAGAATTGTATAAAATACTACACTGCAAGTCTTGTCTTACTGTGATCATTAGACTTGCAATTGTCAGTGGCATTGCCATTAGTAATTGAATTACAATATCCTGTTCTTCAGCATGGTGCCCATGTATTTATATGGTGCCCAGGCTGCTTTCAGTAAAAGTAAAAATGTGTATACTAAAAATACTAAAGTAGCTATAGGTATACATAAGAAGAAAAATGTAATGAAATGAAATTTATTCTCTAAAAGCAGAAAGGTATATTTCTTAGTCTTCCAAAATCTTAAAATGGCTTCAAAATAATGACATTATGATTAGAGATTATATAGAATGACTTTATGATAGGTGTGGAGCTCCTCTGCATTAGACAATTACTTGCCTGACTTTAATGTACCATGGTGAATTTTCTTAAGAGTAAAATAAAAGTGAAATTAAGCAGGATGAGGCCACAAGTTACGCATACAGAAAAGACAAGTATTTGTTGGAATATTTAGTTTTTCATTTGTGCTACTTTATCTGAGTTTTTGCACTGCTTTGGAAGCCAAGCCTTCAATGATGTATGGGAAAAGTAGTTGGAACTCAAAAAAGTGATATGTGGAGAAAATGAACAAATAGGCTCAAGGATGGGTGTGGAAATGCTAGAGCTACGCACAGGAATGTTTGCATAAGCAAGGTCACTATACAATATACACACTGAAAAGTTATACCATTGAGATGCATCCATCTTCAATGACCACAGTTCATGCACTTCCAATAATGCAAAGTGATCTGTTTCAGAATTCATCTTCTAGATGGTCAAGTGACCCCCAGAAGGAGTTTGGGTTTTGTTTCTTTCTGTCATGCCATAGCATCCTTTTTGTTTTCTTATTCCATTATTGCCTTATGACTCTGAATGGCAATGCTAATAGATTATTTTTGGTAGTCTTAGTGAGTGCACTGCAGTCCAGCTTATCTGGAGATAATTTTTAGTGAAGTATCTAGCTTTTTATGTCTCTGGCATACACAACTGGAAACACGTGATATATCCTCAACATGTGTAGCCCATAAGAGTTAACAAAATTGAAACCCAGTTAAAGACTCTCCCTCTCCCTTTTCTGATCACCTTTCATCTTCCTGTGTCCCATCACCCCTTCCCTTCTCTTTTTCTACTTCCTTCTCTTCTTGCATTCACTGTCAGGAAGGGCCGGCACCGAAGGGCCAGTTCAGCACAACACGACGCCGGCAGAGACTAGCAGCTGCAGTGGCTACAACAGTGAGTGGATTTAAAAATCAAGGGATAGCTCTAAAGATGGGAAGCTGTATAACTTGATTGTGTAATAAGTTTATGAAAATGTTTCTTGAACTTTTTGGAGGTGTCCATGCTACCCACTTTCAGCTGAGTTTCTTAGAAGTGGTCAGGCCCAACACAAATGAATTCCATAAATGTGGGTCTGAGCTTGCTTACATGGTGTATGTCCCTCCTCCTTTATACAAGTGCAAGTGACAGACTCAGGCCCTGCACTATTTGAACATGTCTCTGACAAACTCTGCTATATGCTATACAAAATGGAAAAAAAAGGATCAAATTCTGTTAAAAGATTGTTGTGACAGTCTATAGCAAGACAGCAGAACCAAGGAGATTTGTTACAAACAACTGCAGACTGATAAAATTTTCTGATTTTTTTAAAATTAGTACAAGTTTAGCCTTCTCATTTGAGACATTTTCTGTTTACATTCCATAATCCCAAAAAGTCATATTACTACTTCAGTGTCTGTATTTAAGTTTGCTAATTCTCTAAGTCTTTGATGGTAGACATGGAGCTATGAAATCAACACAGGGGCTGGGTATTAGGTGGGGGAAGTCCTGTTTGTGAAATCAAATTAGCATTAAAATGATATGTTCAGCTGCTGCTTTATCAGGAAAGTACTTATTAGGAATATGCAATATAGACATTAGTATTAAGCCATCAACTGATTAGTACAGCAGCTAGATAGGGAAGACTGTACAGCCAGAGACTGAAGTGAGCTTCAAATTCATGCCCCTTATCTAGCCCAAGTAGTGAATGTCTTCACCAGGCTAAATTCCCCTAGATCAGACATCATTTCTGCTTAGCCTATCTGCTATTCTGACTCCATCAGTCTGTCTGCCTAGCAGAGAAAACAACTTGCTTCCCAGTTTACATGACTGAGCAGTGTCAATGGGCGGCTGTAACCAGTACGTTCAGCAGTAGATAAGCAGCATTGGCAGGGGTTGTACTTCTTACTTAAACTGTGCTTCAGTGGTCAAATACAGCTGGACTTTGATTGCAAGGCAGTGAGAATCAGGGAATTGCTGAGTTGTCACCTACAGCTGAAGTGAGGACCTGTTGAGGGAGGTCTTGGAGGAGCTGGAAAAAGCACAGGAGGAAGGAAAGATAGAGGCACCAGAATGACTCTGCAGCTATTGCAGCGTTCATGGCCGTGGCCTGTTCTTCCTGGCTGATGCAGCAAAGTGCTTGTCTCTCCCAGACAGTGAAGCTGTGTGCGTAGACCGAGGAATACAAAATTATATCAGTTAAATGCACAGCAGAAAGAGGAGGTTTTCCTTACAACCCACTCCACCAGGAACAGTCTGTTCCTACATGAACACGTATTTCTGAAGAAGGTGATGGATGAGTGGGTATTACGCCTCTGGTATAAAGCAGGAAGTTAGGAGAAGGTTCAGGTGAGGTCGTGTCTAGAAGAATGTGTGTATGGAGGAAACTAGAGTGACGCAGCAAGAAGCTAAATACTTTTAACAAACTTTCAAAACAACAACAATAAAAAACAAGCAAAAGAGAATGGGTAATAAAGTTAAGAATCAAGTCACCATTAATAGAGAATGAGACCATGTCAATGAAAGGAATAAAGGGGAAGAAAAGTACATTGGTAGTGTTTCCTGGACTGTTACCTATTCAAGAGAATGAAAATGGTTGTTTAATGTGGGTTTTTTCATCTGTTATGGAAAGTAGCTTGGAAACTTTTCTAAAAGATGCCTATGAAGAGAGTTCATGTCAATCAACAGTTCAGTATTTTTGGTTCTTGTATTTAAAGCACTCAGCAAGGCAGCTACTTGTCTCTGTCATGTGGATGTGTATTTATTGCAAGTAGTGTGACAGTATTTGTAGAACATGTAAATTCTGTTTCTAGGGTATAATTTAAAATGTTATTTTTCCAATAAAACTCTGTGTAGAAACGTGCCTTTTCAGCCTGGACAGCTGATATGAGGCAGAAATGATGGATTTAAAGCAGATCTCTTCAACTGTATTCATCACAGAGTGATTAAAGAGCCCCTCACCATGTGTAGGCAGCCTGCCTGCAGTTCTGCCAGTCTATGTGGGTCTGGGGCAACCTTCTCTATCACCACAGGCACATGGTACTGTGGGGATTCTCCCTCAAGCTCCTGCATTTTAGCTGGTATCAGATTCTTTCCTGCCTTTTGCATGGTCTTCAGGGTTGGGTAGATGTCCATGTGGCTACCTGCTCTGCCTTCCTGGAGGCGCCTGGAGTAGTGGAACATTTGCAGTGCTCCCACCCAGAAAGTTCTGGGAATATGCTCTCTGATTTAAGAAGGGGAGAGGTTTTGTAAAGGAAATTTGAAACTAATCTGCATTTAGCAACATTAGTCAATTAACATAGTTTTGCTGGGCTGTTGAGGCAGTCTGGCACTTGCGAAGAAGATAATGGGCTGAATGTCCAGCAGAAATGGAAGGAATTTATTCTACATCTCCTGTTAACATTGTCTTCTTGTTAGGAGGCTAAAATGAGGTCCAATAAAAATTACCTACTTTGTTGATATAGCTGCAACTCAAACTACATGAGAGAAGGAATGCAATTTATATTGTATAGGTGCCATAGAGCTATTATTTTATGTGCCATGTGTATCTGGAAATCGAGGAAGAAGAGAGTAGAAAATGATATTTCACAGAATTTGCTCATGAGTGGAATGATGAGTAGATCCAACAGGATTTTGAGGATTTCAGTGGAGAATCAGAAACGTAAAACATATATTGTTGTCAACTTTTGCAGGAAAGGATTGATAAAACCATTCTCTGATCTAATCAAATAACAAAGTACCGAGTTCAACCACTGATGGCAGTATAGAACTAATCTCTTGACAAAAATTCTTAGTAATATGACTTTTTATGTTATTTGCTGCTCTTTATCATGCCTTGGAAGAAATATTTTGTATTCTGGCCCCATTTTTCATATTTGAATAATTACATTGGGCTGCAATGTGAAAATTCTTGATTTACACATTTGATCAATATAATGAAATCAATTAGATTTAATGTGTTAAACAATATTTAATATTTAAGTAACTAAATTTAGTTCTGCATGCCTTTCCTTTGCATTTACATTTGAAAATTGGGTTCTTGGCCTGATTTTCATATGAATGTTTGTAAATGGTACCATTAAAATAAAATACATGTGCTCACACACATATCACATACGTAACAGTGGTAGTCATACAGTGCATATGTAGCATATATGTAACTGCTTAGTACACAATATATGCATATGTAACATATAAACACTTGCATGTAAATTGGTTTTTTACTGTATCTGAAAAGCGTAGGAGAAAGAGAAGTGGAAATGATGATAAACTAGATTCCTTGCTCCATCCAATTAAACCATATCTCTCTGCATTTATTTATGATTCATGTGCTTTAAAGGAGAAGCAGGTGGAGTTCTGATTTCATTTTTTGTCACTGTTGTTTATTCATTTAGTTAGAAACAAAATAGAAATACTATATGGTTTTTCCCTCTTCACAGTTTCCAGTGCAATGAGTTTCAACTAAAGATTTGCCAGTAGTTTTGAAAAACTTCAATGATATATTTGATAGTACTAAGTCCTATTTCTAGGTCTGTGGAGGAACTTGCATACTTGAAATGTTGGTATGATAACAACAGAGTCATCTAATGTACTCTCAGATGTCCAAATGTAAAGCAGCTTGTCTCATGGTTCAGTTTTCCAGTAATCTTCTAAACATTAGGAAATCATCCATTTTTGTCAATATTAGAATTTAAATGCTCCATTGTTAGCTGTGTATTTAGGCCTTCTTTTGTCTGCTTCACTGAAAAAAATTCAAGAGAATTCTGCATCAACTGTGCTGAGATTTAGGAGAGTAAAAATTACATGTTCACTCTCACCATGTTCTTCACATTGTGAGCTAAGTCTTTTCAGAAGAAATTTGTATTTTCCTTCAACAGAGTCAAAAGTTTGGTTACACCTTATACAATACTTCTTCACTGTTTCTCACTGTAGGTCCCTTTCAGTGCTACAATGTCACCCGTTCGACTGCATTCATCCAATCCCAACCTTTGTGCAGACATCGAGTTTCAGGCTCCCCAAAGCCATGTAACAGACTCTCTGGAGTGCTCTACTGAGTACATGAAGCTTCAGGAAGAATTCTGCTTGATGGCACAAAAAGGTAACTGGAAATGTCAAGCATTTCCTGTAATGTGCTTCTCTGTTGTGTTTCTTATTGCTTTCACTTAATTATGGACAGGGCATTCATCTGCATTAGATGATACTGTATGAAAATTTTAGCTGGTCAGGTGGCTTACATAAAAGCAATATGTATTATTCTTCTTACATTTTCAATGAATGTCACATAGAGATGGGTGAACTCTGTTTGAGATTGTTTTAGAAGTCTTCTGAACTACTTTCTGCATCCTGTAACTATGTGACTGAATTTGGAAACATTTTCTTTCTCAATAAAACTCTTTATCACTCTTCAAGGATGAATCAGAATGTCACTGCCACACATAATGGAAATTTCATTTTTGTGCAATATTTTCTATGTCAGTGGAAACAGTGGAAAAAGAGCTTAATATAGGAATTTCCTTTAGAAATGCCATTTTTTTTGCTAGTAAATGAATAGTCCTACAGACTGAAAAATACTATTTTTAAAGGGTTTGTTATTGGTTTGCTATCTGGTATATAAAAAACATAGTAAAAATGTGAGACATCTTATAAGTATAGAAAACCTGTTTAAAGGCCAAGTAATCCTCCTTATTAGTGCAATATTAAGTGTTGGCAGAACTGATTTTTCCATTACTCTGAAAAGTGCAAATAAAAAACAGTAAGAAAAGAACACACATTGGACACAGTTTTTTGAAATATGCACCTTCCCATATGTTCAGCACCCAGAATATGCTCAGATGACATATGTGTGAACATGCAGTATGCAAGCTGGAAGTGTTTGTACTTAATTTGGCAGGAATTACTTGAAGTTCAGATCCTTGTCAGAAATGTCCATTACTGTGGGATGGAAGTCTCATTCTCTGTCTTTGTTGCTAAAATCTTGTTATAGATGTCAATGTGATTTCTGTAGCTGAGAAAACACTTGATTTCTTGTTTTCTTTTTGCTTAGTGCATTCTCTTTTGAAGTCTGCCTTTAACAGCATAGCTATAGAGAAGGAGAAGCTTAAGCAGATTGTTTCAGAGCAGGATCTTACAGGCCACAGTGCTCAAATAGCAAACCTCAGACAGTCCCTCTCTCAGGTATGTTCTTTATTTGATTTCAATCACATCTAGCTTGCCAGATGCAAAATTTCTTTTGTATTTTAGCCATTTCCTGAAGTAAAAGGAGCTGTTACAACATAGATTTAAACTTAGCACATGTGGAGGTGAAGGATAGAATTTGCTTGTGTAAGCATGTACCTGTTATGGTTTTCTAAAATAAAGAAAAAGGATCAGATGTTTTTATACAAATGCTAGGTGTCTTTTCTGGAGCTGTTTCCAGCACAGCCAAGGTTTTGGTACTTGTTTTGGTAATTAAGTTTGAAATTTTGAATGTGTGTTGTTGAATTTGGTTTATATATCTATGTCTCTAACTGAAAAAACAATCCTGAGTAAAAAGACAATAATGGGTAAAGTGAATTTCTAGATACACACGTCTTACTGTCCAGCATCTCTCCCACTTAAGGTAGAGGAAAAATTGTTGTGGAAGAGGAAACAACAATAGGCAACAATATGTCCTCAGGCTGCAAAATAACTCATATTTTTTAATTCACTGTCAAGGAAGCATGAACAGCTTTTGCTGGATTGGTGTGGAGGACTGCGTCTGCAAGAAATATGAGCAGAGGTTTAAAACCAAAATTCTCTATAGATAGAGATGCATATCATGTTATGCAGATTGATACTGTGTGTTGTAATAAAAAAAAAGTTAAGGACAAGAGAGAAGGGTAACCATGTCTTGTTGTTGATACACATTTACCTCAGACCTGTGGAGATCTGTTAGTGACTTGTATGAAATGGAGGATCATGTTTTCTTCTTGGTTCTGGCCTCCAATGTTAGTTTAAAAGGCACTGTCACACATTTGTTCATAGTCTCAAAGGAGAATAAGTGGAATATTGACTGTGACTCAATTTGTCCACCCTTATGACCAGGTTTGAGCAATTTAGGAAGCTACTGCTGTTAGTCGTGACCTTCCCTTCCTGGTAGATGGCAACTGTGAACAGGATCAGACCATTCCACAACAAAGCAAAATCAGGCAATTTAAACTGTTTAGTGACAGTTTAAGCTTACCTATTTTACTTTTGTCCTACTTCAGTACATTCATGCAATCTATTCCTGAGTCTGCACTGAGGGCAGGCTGAAGAAGATTCTTACTGCATTGTAACAGTCTTTTTCTGCTAAAACAGTATGTCTGTCTCTTGTTCTTTTCTATGAACTTCAGTGCTAGGGATATATTAGGGTTAAGTCAGTTCATGTTCTTGGTATGTAACATATTATGCTTTCTCTGGATTTCAGAGTCATGCACATGAATCTTTCCAAATAACAGATAATATATATATGCACCCAAATTTATAATCTAGGTTGGACTTTAAAATAGGAGAAAAAACAGCAGATACCAAACACCACTTGAATTCTGTTGGTATTTGTGACACTATAATGGATTAGGAGTTTGAAATAAGTACACAAAGGCAAATCTATAAAATTGATCTGGACGGGTAGACACAATGATAGTAGCAGTTATGTTGGTTTTGCTGGAAATGAAGCAATTCTGTTACAAACCCAGAATTGCCTGTTTGGGCATTTTGTGAGTAGTTCCCATTTGTTGTTCTGCAGTTTCACTCTTTCTTGCTGCATTCACTCCCCGTTTCCATAGTGTACACAACTCACCGGTACACCTGCCAAAGAGCTATCTGAAGAATTAAAGTAGAATGCAGGTGTTACATTATGGGAGAATATCTGTCCCCATGCCTCCTGAAAACCATTGAGGGCAAAGCTACCAAATAGTAGATCATTTTCGAGAGGATCTCAAAATAGATATCCCTTTATAAATGGAAGAAAGGAGTGATTTCTTAGGAAACTACTGGGAAGAAGCATTTTTCCTACCTTTTTTTTTTTTTCTGTGTAATGTTTACATTTAAATTTTAAATAAAATCTGCAATTTTTATTTTAAGGCTCTCAACCAGAATGCTGAACTAAGGAGTCGCTTGAACAGAATACATTCAGAATCTGTTATTTGTGATCAGGTTGTCAGTGTAAATATTATCCCTAGTCCTGATGAGGTAAGATTTTGGCCTTTAATGGATTTAGAGTACAAAGAAACCTTGCTAATTCTCACTAATAGCTGAAACACACCTGGGAAATTACAGAATTTTTCAGATTGGC